ATATATATATATATATATACGTTATTATTAAGAAATTAACCATAAAAGTCAACCTAACTAGGAAAGGCCCATTTCGTTCTCTCTGATGATGGGACCTCGCAGCCTACCTAGGCCTAGCTATAAGAAGTTGGCTAGTGTTGCAAAGGAAGAACCGCCGACTTGTATGGGTTTTTGTCTCAATTTCGTAGGCTATTACATATAATTCATACTCATATTTGAATAGCACATACGATTGAGTAAACAGTGATTTAAAAAAAACAAAAAAAAACTTGTAATTAGTTTGAACATAGAGGTAGGCTTTTTATTGTTCTATGTAATGCCTACTGACGTTATCGGGATAAAAACAAAATGTCGGTAAACTTTTTTCTGACGCATGCGCAAATAAATATTTGGACTAAAAAGGACTCAAAACTAGTGGTAGGGAGTATGTTTTATCGCGTACACCTTACATTTTCTATCTAACCGAAAAAAAGCATTTCTCACACAATTATATGTCCACTAGTACCTCTTGGGCACAATGCATACCCGCCGCGAGGCACCGTTTAGGAGCCTATTTGTTTACAGACATTAGACAAGTTGTTGCCATACACACACACATACATTTCACATCTGTATCATCCCAATAGTTCCTCTGTGACCAAAGGTCACAAAGGAACTAATAAGCTCTAATAATAAGTAGATCTAAAGGAAATACATAAAATAATAATCATCTACAATTATACACACGTGCCAGTGTTGGCTCTAGATAATTGTCGACGGACATGGGTCCAGAATCAAGGGGCTGACTAGAACCTCGGTCATGGCCCTGGAATAAAAAAACTCATTGTAGGGTTCTCAGGGAGAGTTTGAATGGGATGGGGGGGGGTGCGGGATACAATGCTCAATCCTTAATTTTATTTAATTTCTGATTTTAACTGATAGCTATGCCATGTGTTTTCCCACAGCATTGTTGTTTTCCATTATTTTGCCTTTTAATTTGTATATAAATAAAGCTCCTCCCTGACCCACTCATCACTTTCTTCTAAAGCAAAGTATGCTGTACTTATGTACGACAGTGACGGCAATCTGGGTTTCGGCAAACTGAGTTTTGGCAAACTGAGTTTCGGCAAACCGGTTTGTCATAATTCAGTTTATTGGAATCGGCAAAATGGGTTTCAACAAAGTGGCCATGGACTAGGCAAAAGGTTTCGGTAAACCTAATTTTCAGCAAACCAGTCAGCAGAAATTTGGGCTTTTCAAACTGATTTCATATGTCTTAAATCTAATACCATAGAACTAAAAAAAGAAAAGATGTTTTGGTCAAATAAGCCGTGCCCGACAGGGGAAGGACGGAGAAGGGAGATGCACTGCTGTCGAAAAGAGCTGTCCCTCCTTGTCGGGGAGAAAAAAAAACAATTCGTAGAGAATTTATACCGAATGCACAACTTTAAAATCAGTTAATTAGTAAGCCTTTCAAATCATGTCTACAGCGTTTTGGGCTGCCCCTGGCCACGCTTATTTCCAACAGGATGGTTGGCTTTCTCAAGAACAATACCCCACCCATGTCAGAGATACCGGGACCCCTGCCACGGAGGGAAAGGGTATGGGTTTTGCCGGACAAGGGGTCGATATATCTGATGGAAATGCTACTCGGAAGCCCAAGTGGTCGGGGCCAATGGCAGCCAAGAACCCATTCAGTGGCAGATCCATTTTAATTTGTAAAAAAGTGGAGATTTAGTGGGACTTGCACAGATGGAGAGCCTAGACCACCCAGCCCCACCATGATTGATGGGGCTGGATGA